CAACACTCAAGGCTGCTGTCAGCACTTTGCACAGACTGCCCAGCACAGCCCCTGTCCCTCATTCACTCCTCCTACAAACCTTCAAAGGAACAGGTTCCATAGCCCAGCCTCAGTCTGCAGCCCAAGAAACAACGTGGTGGAACAAGTCTAAAAAACCCCTAAAGCTGATTTAATAGCATGAGCAGATCTTCGTTCTGTATGGCAGGAGGAGTTATGTGACACAGCATCCTGAAGAAAACCATATTATTTAAAAATTAGCAATTATGAAGCCAGTCAGGAATAAAAAGCACTGCAATGACGAGGTGATGCCACACCAAGTGTCAGCCCCAAGTGCTTAGAATGCTTCTACAGTTTGTTATTCAGAGAGTCACACGGCATGCCTGCAAAGTGCAAGTAACAACGAGATAATCCAAACTAAAAGCACATGTGTGTAATAAATACCAGAAGGGCACACATTGTTCTATATATTAATCAGATTCATAACAACAGAGCAATTTTTCTCTCCCTGGGGTGTGAAGAACAAGATTATAAATCACAATGTGAATACTTAAAGATCAAACTCGAATAACCTAATTGTGTACAGTGATGATGGGACGGAAGGAAACTCAATCAAATGGGAAACTGTTGTTAGATTTCATCATCTTAAATACATTTCTTTGACACCGTTCTGATAAATTATCTAGATTAAAAAAAAATGTTGGCTTACCTTATTAATACCTTAAGCTTCCCATGCCTATTTTCTCCTCGCTTTACCTCTCCGTTTGAATGGAGCATTATCACATAGAAAGACATCTGGTATTAACCAAGTTTTGGTTCTCTTCTGTTACAAATCACACCTACTTTTGTTTCAAGACATTTACTGCCTTACAGAGGAACCAGAGGAACTAGAGTTCTGCTACATTCAAAAACTGTCAGACAATCTTTAAATATTTATCTCTGAATTCCCCTGGTTGCATGTACTGGGGAATGTTTTCATAAATACATCAATAGCTGTCTTGTACAGCTCGTTAAGGAAGCTTTTATCCTTTAGTGTAATAGTTCAGTTTGCAGTTGCCTGTAAATCATTTTTATGGACCTCCATTAAGCACGCCCTTCAAAATGCAATTATTTGTCAGATTTTGTATTCACGGAAGCAATCGCCAGAGAAAGCATGAAAGAAGCTGAGAAGATGCATAAACATTTGGAAGCAGAAACTGGCACATGTCCAGTGCATTCCCTCCTGTAACAAGTGGTCACAGCGTATGAGATGGAGCTGAAGGACTGACCTCTGCAGGACGGGTAGGGCAGATTGCCCAAAGGGCAGGGTGAGCAGAATGGCTTACATCAACCATGACTGCACACCTTGAATTTCCTCCTCAGGCGTGACATCAGCCTTCCTCTGAGGCCCCAGGACCTCCATCCCCACGTGGTGTTTTACCACGTAGCAGAAAGATACAGACACTCACATTCCTTGTCCAACCTAAAGCAACACGTGCCAGCAAACTTCTGTTACAGATACAACTTGTTCACAATAAATTACAGTTGCTCTTCAAGTTCATTTCATTTCCCAGGTCTTAGCAAAGCATAAGCTTGGATAAGCAGGTTTCTAAATACGAAGTTTAGAAACACGCTTTTAAAAATGCCTTTAATATGTATATGTGCTGAAAATCATGGAATCACCAAGGCTGGAAGAGACCTCCACGATCTTCCAGCCCAACTGTCCACCTATCACCAGTATTTCTCCACCAAACCACGGCCCTCTGTACAACATCTAAATGTTTCTTGGACACCTCCAGGGACGGTGACTCCTCCACCTCCCTGGGCAGCCCGTTCCAGCAGCTGACCTCTCTTGGAGAAGAAATGTTTCCTAAACCCTACTGTACTTCCTTCAAGAATTATCTTCCAGGCAGAGAGCAAAGAAGCAGCAGTTTAATCCCTGTGTCA